ACATAAAAAAAAAAAAATTTGGCCCCCCCCCCCCCCCCAACTAAATACATTTTCTAGCTCTGCTACTATTATTTGGGACTATTTATTCTCTTTTACTATGAAGTGGGAAGTTAAAGCTTTCTGCCCCCTCTATGTTTTCAACAATTTCAATTTTTTTCATTGAGAGTATTTTTCTAGTGAAAATTTTCATGCTTATTCTATATTTTTGAGGCCATGCTATGCAATAATTTGCTAGGGAATACTTTCTACTACTTGGGGATGCTACTTGGAGGTTTATTTATTTGCTAACTCCTTGTGGCTGATATACATGATTTTTTGATATATAAATTGGTCTTTGCATTTTGCACTTCCATTTGATAAATTTTCACATTAGCAATGTAATAACATTGTAGATATTTAGACACACATTTTACTTTTATAGATGATGATTTTAATATTTTTTTATTGAATAGAATTTAAGAACAATTTGAAATGCAACACATATATGTCTTGTGCTTAAAAATTTTTATTCAAATATTACACTTATTTTGGCATAGCCGTAACTACATCAAGAATGATTGTTTATCCTTATGGCACAACTTGATACTTAGTTTCATACATCTTGACCCTATTGTACTAGGATGGTACCATAGATGATTTAACCTTTATACTCTTACACTAAGCCCCATATGCTTGCATTGTTATTTTTCTTTTCTCATTATTGCTTTGATAACACTTTTTGTGTATATCATAGTTGTTGTTGTCTTTGTTTATTACTCTATAATTGGTGATGTTTTAAGTTTCTATTGCTAGTACAATCATGTACTTGTAAATTTTATCATCAATGAAGTGCTATGAGTGACACTCAAATTTCCTCAAATAAAATAATAAAATAGTTTAAGATATTGGAATTATAGAAATTTGAAAATGATATTGAAGTAAAAGGATACATTATAATTAGAATTTGGCTTTTAATAGGACACAATGGAGAAAAAGGATTCATGTAGCCGACCCCACGTAGTGGGATAAAGGCTTGATGTTGTTGTTGTTGTTGATAAATTATAATTATATATTTAAAGGGATAATTTATGAAAAAGAGAAATTTTCACATTTTATAATCTTTATATAAGGCTCACTGGTTTGGAAAAGAAATAACCTTGTATATTAATTGAAGATTATTTTAATAAGATAGTTAGCAAAAAGATTCAAGCATTTATACATGTAATATACATATATTTTGTGTAGGATTTCAAGTAAATCATGGAAGCTTTCATGATATACCAATTTGGTTAGGGCACTTAAGGTTTTAAAATTATAAAAAATTATCAGTTTTTTGTTTTTCATTCAACTTCTCTCTTATTCACTTTCTCCTCACTTCCTCTCCTTGGCTATTTTCCTCTATATTGTATATTTATTTTGTTGTATTCACTTCCTCTACTTAGCTATTTTCATTCATCTCCTCTATTTTCTTATTAAGATAAGAGCTCAAGATGAGTGTAGTGCAATACTAAAGAGACAAAGAAATGTGTGAATGATTGAAATTATTATATATATATGTTGCGGGCTAGAATATACACGACGATAGAGTTAGACAATTTTCATCTTAGTGTTGTATGGATATCCAACACACAAACATAATGAAAAAGAAAACACCAATATTTTTACATGGAAAATCCTGTCAAGGGAAAAATCATGGGGCCACGCCCAGTTGATAAAATTCCACTAGTGTTTGCTTAAGTTACAAATTGTTGACTCGTCTAGGGGTGTCAATTTTTGACACGACCCGAACCCGACTCGAAAAAATCCGGGTTCGGGTTCAACAAATCAACCCATTTTAAAAATCGAGTCGGGTTCGGGTTGACCCAGCAACCCGAAATTGATACGAAAATTCATATTTGACTTGAAAACTCGAGATTGACTCGTTTTGACCCAAAAATCGAACATTGACCTGATTTTTTACCCGAAAACTAGAAATTTTGGGTCAACCCCGAGTCATTCGTGTCGGGTCGGGTTGACCGGGACCCAAATTGGGTCGTGTTCGGGTCCGGAAACCTGACCCATTTTTAAAAATGGGTCAGGTTTGGGTTGACCCGAATAGTGCTGGGTCAGTTCCGGGTTCGACCCAAACCCGACCCGTTGACTCGAATTAATACCCCTAGACTCGTCCTTGAAATTGAGGACGATCAGATTACAAGTCTTAAGTTGAAATTCAGTTAAACAGATATCAGAATTCCGACGACGTTGGGTGATCAGGCAGAACTCCTGCATCACTTGAAGGTCGGGCGGAACTCCGACATCACTTGGAGTTTTGGAGAAACTCCGGCGTCACTTGAAGGTCGGGCGGTACTCTAGCGCCACTTGGAGTTCCGGCGGAACTCCGATGTCACTTGGAGTTCGGGAGGAACTTTAGCGGTGGTCGAGGAGGAGTCTCTTCCTTCCCTTCTTGCCTCCTTGCTTAATTCCAGCATCGGTCGGCTGTCGAATGAAAATCCGACGATGGTTGAGAAGCTTCTTCCTTCTCTTCTTCCTCCTCTTCTCTTTTTGCTTGAGTTCCCCTCTTAAGAGAAATGAGGGGCTATTTATAATTTTCTGAAAGTGACATGACCAGTAAATAAGAGGAAAACCAAGGGCGAATTGGGAGTGGTTTGAATATACGACCGATGATGAATCTCTTGATCATAGACCATTTATTAGACATTTGAAGGCGCTAATTATATTGGAATTCGATGATCTTTGGTTCGTTGGATTTGTCACGTCGAGCCGCTCGATTAGACTATAAGCAAGCCACATTTAAAAACTGTTTAGTAATCTAAATTATGGATTGAACCTTCCAAATGTGCTCCAGGTCTTTGATTTGGACCAATTTGAGCTCGGGTTGGGTCGAGTTTGGTGTCATTGGGTTCGTATTTCCGAGACATTCAGTTTGACTATAAGTTCGCTAAAATAAGAGTTCAAATGGTCTCAAATTTAATTTTTGAGGCTTCAAACATGATTTTTGTCTCTAGATTTGTGACCGATAAAAATAATTTTTCGATGATATATAAAGTTTATTTTAATGATGATTAACTCATTTATTTTTTATTTTTTATTTTCACAATATAAGTGATATTTAACACAATAAATATATTTTGAGCACAGTTCTACGAACAATTATTAGGTCCGGTGACCGGACGTAGCTCTACGTTCGGTTACCACTGAGTTACCCGGTATTTGCTCGGTATTGCTAGGTATTGCTTAGCAATAACGAGAAATACCGCTCTTTGAAGAACAATACTGAGTAATACCGAGCAATACCGAGTAATGCCGAGTTTTTCTAGAAAAAACTCGGCATTGCTCGTCGGTATTACTCCTTATTGCTCGGTATTTTGTCTTCACGTAATGATATTTTTTATTATTGTCAAACAAAATAAAAAAATATCTGATTTTGTGCCTGCTATGTCAGGCGATTTAGTGCCGGCAGACTAAATAAACGTTCCAGTTCTACAAGGCAGTGTTGCGTTGCGTCTCGGTGTTTGCTTCGCGGCCACACACACGATAACCCAACTCGGCTCCCTCTCCCCCCTTGCTCTCTCATCTCTCTCTCCAATTTTCTCGCCGCGCTTCCTACAGATCTCCTCCCTCCGTCGAGGGGTTGGAAATGGTCGGAGGATTCTTGTCGATTGCTTATCATCCCATTTCTTCCTCACTTCCAACCAATCCCATCTCTGAGCCTACTTCACCGTCGATCGCTTCTTCTCTAGAGTGGCCCAGATTGTTCCTGAAATATCCAGTTCGATCTCAAAGGCATTTGCAGCCTCCAGTCCGAATTGGTTCCCATATTGCAAGGGCGAGGGCGTCGGTAAAGGGCATAACAGTCGTGGATGAAAATGGTCGAGGCGCGGGGCAGTTCTTGCAGAGCAACTCTATTTCGGATTTCATGAGGTTTAAGACAGGATATAGAGATGGTATTGAGAAAAGTAGTGGGACTGGGGAGTTGCAAACGGCTGTGGTTAGCTACAGGATGAATTTCCCTTGGTCTCTGCTGAATCCTTTTCTTCAGGTTGCTGCGCTGCTATCGATATTTTCCATGCAAATTTTCTCTTTCTTAAATATTCAATGAGGTTTGTAAGTATTTGGCGTAGGTGGATTTGGTTTCAACAATTCACATTGCGGACAAAGAGTAAGTGTTCTCTTTATGAGCTTTTCATTTTATAGGCGAAGTAGTGAAGTTGATTTTGACACTGTGAATTTGTGATTCTACAATTGCCATTACTCTTTGGCATTGTATTCTAAAATTGGCGGAGATACATCTACTACTTAACTGCAACTGCTGATATTTAATATTCAGAATTGGGAAGTGTAAAATTTCAGCCCAGGGGAAAGCAACCTATATCTTTAATTAATGCTCATATGAAAGCTGAGATCTATCGTTAAGAATAAGCTTGACTTAATTCTTTTGCAATATGTTGGAAGGGGTTATTTGGCTTTAATTAGCTTGAAATAGTATTCCAGCGAGAGGACATTTTATTACAATTATTTTTGGAGGTAGGGATGTGAATGGGATGGTGTTGTTGGTACTGTGGTAGTAAAACATACGTAATGAATCATCTTTCTTTCCTCTTATATTCCTCTTCATCATTCCCATTGAGTGGTGCCCACTTATTACACCATCATAACCTTTCAAGGTCTCATATCCAATCTAAAATGTTTAATTGAGTAATAAAAAACATTTAGAGACAAAAATACACCAATAAGTTGCCTCACTTTTATTGATTTCTTTTCACTTAACACTAAAATCCATGAGCAGTAGCAACTATATAATGAACGCATGCAGTTTTTTTTTCTATTAATTCAACTTTGTCAAAGTTTTAGATTGTTAAAATGCGTCTCGAGAAATGTTAAATTGCAGGTATTTTGATAACCTGCAAAAGGGACTTGAGCTCTATGACTGTGTCCTTTATGAGATGGTGGCTAGCAGAGAGAATTTAGAAAATAGGAGAAGCTCTGGATCAACTAAAAGCCTCAAAGCTTCACGCTTCAGAAGTTTCAGTATTCTGGGATTTATCCAAAGGCAGATGGCCCGAATTCTTGCCTTAGAATTCCAGTTGGACTGTCTCAATTACCAGGCTGACAATTGGTTACATGCTGATCTTGACTTTGAGACCTTTAAAATGCTCCAGGTATTGTCCTTTATACATGTAATAAGCTTGTAAAATTTAGTCTCCTACTATGTCAATAGTGCAGCTAGAAAATATATTCTAATTGTATTTATTTGTCCACAACAACCATGGCCATTTATACCATTCTCTGCCAATGGTAACATTTCTTTGGGATGGAATTTCAAATACTTGCAGAAGATTCTTCTTAATGGAATTATAACAGGTGATTAGTGGTCTGATTATTTAAAATGATTCCTGATACCTTAATGCAATTAATGGTTTAGGAATTTATTCTGATTGTCTTTGCTGTGAGGTTTTCTTTCTCATGGTCTTTTGCTCATTTGAGTCCTTGTTCTTTCTCTTGAATTATGAAGAACTGAAGTATATTATTATCATGACATCATGAGGTAATCCTGGATATAACACAATCTTAATGGACCAAAGTTATATACGATGAATATGTTATGGTCATATGTGGAGCTTTTTGAAACCAAACGTGCGAGTGATTTTGTGTTAACCTCAGAGACATTGTAATTTAGTGTTTCTTAAACATCCTTTTTTTGGGTTTCATCCATAGTAGAGGTATGATAGTTGATATTGAGTGTGGGAGGGGTTGCATCTTGAGCATTCTTTTACCAAGTGAGGGAGTATCTTTAGCTCTCATGTTTGGTTCCATTTATTAAATTTTGTTTCACTCATGTTAAATTTATTTAGCGATTGCAAAAGCCTTTCACGAGCTCAATTTGATTGTCACAAGAAGGAAAGCTCAAATTAGAGTTGAAGTAGAGTAATGCTTTTTTATTTATATTTTACAAGATGGACGGCACACGTCATGTTATAGACTTCTTTAATTCAATCATGGCCTTAGAAATTTAACATTAACGTAATCCTATAGCATTTTATTGATGCTTTTGTATATTTCTCCTTGATTTGATTTCTCTTAGTAGATTCATCGAAGTTTATTTGTTTATGATTTAAGCTCAACTTCTAATATTCCACCTTAATTCATGCAGCTTGAGAAAGGTGAAAGCCTATTCACATTTGCTAGGGATATGACCTTAAAATCTACAAAAGCATTTGTGCAATCAACTTCAATCCCAGATGATCTTGATCCTTGGAGATCGAAGCTCTTGCAGGTTTCACGTGTGCTACCTATGCCTCTTGTAGGACTTCTCATTATAGGTAGCGTCTGCTCAGCAGCAGAAAATCAGGTCTCTGAATACTCTGAGATAGAAGCACTCTCTAGACTTGATATCGGAGCTGCGTTAAAGATCTTTTTGGCAAAGAGACTAACTTCAGAGTAAGGATATAAACCACTTTAAAATTTAATTCAATTATTTTTTTATTTGTTATCTATTTAGCGCCTTAATGTGGATTTGAGGTTATGATATGCCTAATCTTTAGTTTCAAGTCCTCATATGGATGTTTGGCTTGGGTGCAATGGTTTGATTGCCTCATTTTGATTTGGTCGTTGGTTTCTATTCGAAGACGAGCTCTTTGTTGTGTAGAAATAGTTATAGGCCACAGTGGTGGTGGTGGGGTTGTGCTGTGCATTTCATTGGAACCTCCTATACTTGATATCTTGATGTTTTAAAACCCTCAGCTCATTAACAAACTTGAAAATTTTCCAAATTCAATGTCATAAAGAACAAGAGGTTAAAATTTTGATTGTATAAACATGTTTAGCTCAATTGAATTGAGTAAGACTTTACATTAATGTTAATGGAACCTTACTTAATATTCATTTCTAATATCATGATATACATTTATAGAGAAAGTATGCTAATAAGAGAGTAAACAAGCTATAAACAGAATTTTAATGATCTCAATCAACTGCACTAGCATATATACTTACAAGCACAATATGCAACTTACAAGTGGCACACAAGTGTCCACTAAAGCTATGCAATGGCGATATTTATAATGTTGGATTTGATAATTTTTAACCTATTAGCAAAAATAGTATAATACCCTTATAATATATGAGCATATTAGTATCTACACATGGATTATTACACTAGTAAATATGGTGCAATTAGTTTAGTCTAAGATATAGTGCAAGTAAACATAATGATTTTTAGATGATTATGCTCAACCTAGACTACTGTCATGCTTGAGCCTCCTAACTTAAGATTCCACTCATAATTCCTCCTTATAGCAAAGAAGTGTCCTCCATGACATAGTAGCCAATAACATCTTATTGAATTCCAACAAGTGTACCTCAATTTTATTATTCAATGGCTAGGACAATCCACATCATGATTTCAAACAAGAACATTCTCCAATACCTTACTACGATTTGGTGATGTGCAAACTAAACACCTTACAAGAATAACATTCAATTTAGACTTAAAATGATTGAAAATAAACAAATAAAACTAGGAAAAAAAATTGATTATTTTCAGAGAGATTGTAGGACTTAATAAATTTTCTCTTTGATGAACATTATAAGCCTCTTTCAAATGATTTGCATTAAACATTTTTGCACATTATTTCTCTTATTTTTAAATGTTTAAGACTCTCTGAATTATGTGCTATATATAGCCAATAGAAGTTTTAAAAATCACGCCAAAAAGCCTCTCTTGGATGCCACATAATCCAAAGAGTTGTTTCTTGCCAAAATTGTAATTGACGATGGGGCTCATCGGCTTGCTAGATAGCCCAATAATGGGTGGTTGCATGTAGGAATATTGAACCCATAAATTATGATTCTAATTACTTTATAATCATGGAATACATATTAAAAATAATTTCTTTACATATAGAAAATGCTCAAATCAGCTTAATTATAATGTTCATCATCCTTCAAGTTTTAGATTAATCAAGATATCAATCTTGACAAAGAAATCAATCTAAACAATAAGTAGTGAGCCGTAAAATATTCTTTACATCCTAAAGCTAGCTAAATTGTTCTCTTGAAACTCATATTCAGGTTGCAATAGCTCCAAGCAAGCTTAGCCATTGGTCGATCATCTTAATGGTCGCCACAGACTTCATAAATCTATTAAATATTTTGCAATCCATAAATTGATTTTGCACAAAGTCTGACCCAAACATATAACATATGAAGATACTTAATCTTATGGGGTTAATAATCTCTTTCCATTTGATGATGATAAATCGATGTTGATATCAGAGGGATAAAATGTAAAAAATATGTAACACTAGCTTCTCTTCATTAGAGACATTTTGTAAGTATAATTGCCCCTGTAAGAGCATGCATCCACTGACACCACACATGAAATGCACTAATACAATAGTTCTCTCCTTGTTTGATGTCATCAAAAGGGTGTACTATAAAATTTATAATTGGCGAAGCCGTATATACATGAAAGTATGAAACTCCCTTTAATAAAATTAATAATATCTAAAGAGCAAAACAATTTATTCATAATCATTTTGAGGTAAAATCATTAAAAAAATAACTTAAGTCTATGATATCGATTATGAAATAAGCTGCAACTAGTGAAATCTTTGTGGAACAAATTTCTTTATGAGTACCAATCTCCTATATTAATTGTAAAAATTATTTACTAATATAAAACCTTGTAAACATGGAAGGAATGCACACTTGCATGAGATTTATGACATTAATCATATGAATGTATTATGAAATTTATTCATGCACTGATATGAAGGTAGATGTCAAATGTAAAAGTATAGTTAAAGAATGATACTAATACATAATCAGGCAATGATACTTAGATAAAAAGCTACATTTAAGTGATTTTAACCAAATTAATTTGCACAAATCTAATCACCATTTATGAGTCTCTAATTAGTTTGATTATACTGTTGTATACCATTTAAATTGCTAGCTAGGTGAAGCTGCTCGTGTGGCTAAACAAGTTGTGTAAGCATGATCACACTATGTGTACATCACTTGGTCTCTAACAAGTAATCTAAGCCAGTTTTCAAAAACAAGCGTTGTAGATGCCAAAGCATGGAGAAGCTAAGCATGACTCAAAACTAGTGGTGAGCATGCATAAACATGAATTATATGAAAGAAGCCTAAAATGCTGCTACAATTGAATTTCATAGTATAAGATTAGATAATAATAGATATTATTCAACATAATCATGCTAGATTATGGTTAAAATTTTAATAATATTGATCATTTCAATTCATAGACTAATCATGCTAAGACATCAAAGTTTCATATGTTTCTTAAATGTTAATCATTTAAAGTACAAGGCAGATTAGCTATGTATAAGACTAGATTAGTGTAAGGAGTATAACATAAGGATGCAAGAATTATTCCAAACTTTTGAATCATTCTATGACCTCCAAAACTTTGCTTTGGACATGCTCTTTGAATTTATTTTAGGATATAAGCATATGTACTCCAAATCTCACTGATTCTATGATATATCTGCACCAAAAACTTCAAGTTTTTTTATTTTGGCACCCAAACTAGTTTGGGTTCACAAGCATTTGTTCCATAAGCGCCAGGTCATATGTAGATGGCATTGAGTTGGTGTTGTGCCTTTAAGAATCTAAATATATCTAAATATATAAGGATCTTCTTATTGTTATTATGAACGTTCTCAATGCACAAACATATGAAGCATTGCCAAACTTATTTCAAAAATATTATTAAATTTTAGGCAAGGTAAGCATAAATGATTTGACAATCTTACTATTCCTTTTATGAAATGAACTAGCTTGCACTTTAGATTTGCAACATGAACTTATTGAAACATGCAGACATTAATTCTTAGTACAACAAGTTGCAAATGTGCTAATAGAAATGATTTACAAATCATTCACTTTGATTCTTATACTTAACATTTTCATTCGTTAAAGGCATAATATTTTCAAGAAAAGATTCAATATCATGTTCAAATGAAAATGAATTAGAAGTTGACAAATCACTAAACTTTATTTTTAAGTATTTAATCATCTGCAATCATTTAACATGAATCTAAGTTTTCATTCATTTTAACTATGCCATGCTTGAATTGATTATTTTTATTTTAAAGAATATCTATAATTTCATTACTGTTATATATACATATATATATTGAGCTAACTAACTGATCAAAAAAATTAAGAGAGCTTTTCAAAAGATAGTTCATTTATCTAAATTTCTTCATTTGAGTCATATCTAGAATTGGGATGGACTTGTACTTTACATGGGATTGTTTTCCTTAGTTTTCCTTTTCGGGATTGTTGCAATTTTTTAAGAGATGGATAGATATTTCTATGGCTATTTCTGCAAGTGTTTACCTATTTGAATAAAGATAATTTGTGTATTATCCAAGTAGCTTCATTAGCGGGCATCTTTTGCGGGCTTTAGATGAGATACATGCCTAGGCGATTATCTCATGGCTTTATTTATCTTAGGAGCTAGTCACAAGATTCTTGATGATGCCTAATCTTTTGACATCATTTTTAAGGGCTTTATCATTCTATTATAGCTTTTGCGCCCAAGATTTTATGTGGCTATTTTAAATCTTGATTTGTTCTATATGTGTACTTGATGATTATCTGGAATAAAATCGGTTTGATCTTGTGTTAACTTTATTTATTAATCTAGGGATGGAGAGTTTTATATTTTGATGTTATGAGGCTTGCAACTTATTAATTTTAATTGCATAAAATTTCTTGATTTGAAAATTAGATGTGCGATTCTCTTGAGTGTGTCATAAGTGCGACTACTTAAGGGGAAGCCTTCTTCTTGTACAGATGTGAGGTCTAGGTTTATTACTTGGGTAAAACCTTTTCTTGATTTGATTTCTTATACATAACTTGTTATTTGTTTGCTTGTACTCCTAATTTTACTCAAATTAATTAAAACAACTTGAATTCAAAGTATAAAGATTAAATTACATTTAATCACTAAAGTTGCATTATTTGAATTTATTGTTGATTTCTTCAAATTAGTCTAATCGTTATATTATCATTTGTGTTATAATTTTCATATTTATTGTTTGCATTTAAAGAGAGCAGTTGTTGATTTATTTAGTGGTTTGTGATGCGCATTATAAGTTCCCTTATTTGATTTGCTTATATCTCTTTATTCTAGTTGCATTACAAAACCCTAACTCTAAATTGTTCTGCGTCATTACTTCGTCCTCTTCTTCAACATGTGATACTATGGCAAGTGTGGTTTACTTTTTGTCGTATGCCTTTGTAGTCTTTTTCTTTCTTTTTTTTTCCATGGAGAAATGACTTGTAAATTTGGTTTTTTGAGGTTTGATGGCATTCTCTACTGGGCATGATGTTTCTTCCTCATTTTCTCAGCATTTTCACATCCTATAAATAGTGCAGAGAAAATTTAAGATTTATTTCTGGATTTATGGTTAACAACTATCATTTGAGTTTCTTATGAAGGAGCTTAATAAAAAGACAAGTGACATTCAATTTTGCAAAATTGATTTCTTCTTGCGACCAGAAACCAAATGGCTTTTCATGAAATCATTTTCAACATAAAATCTCGGTGATGTATGTCAAACCATAATAATATGACAATGTATTGCAAAAATGTGATTATTCTATTTTTCCAAGGCCCAAAGTGCATACGCTTAAACAAAGTGTCCCATCAGGATTTACTCTAGGATGCTAAGTGAAATAAAGAGCCAAGGCTTTGATAACAATAGTAGATTCAAGGCAAACTAAGGGAAGGGGTGAAATGGGCTTGTAATTGATTCTTCTTTTGAAACACTTTTAATTCAAACCCACAATAAACATATTGAAATACAGTTATAAATAATTTAATGCATAACTAATACAGAAAAAAAAAAAAACAATCCATCATGCATGTTTCTTCAGCCAAGAACCGCTACCATCCCCTAACGACGAGTACTCACCAACAACATATTCATGAGTTGGTACTTGTTCCCATATCCATTCCTTGTCCATGTATAAGTACTTAGCTTCCTAGAGTAATGGAGATGGAGATGGAACAAGTGAATAGGAATAAGTACCAACACATGTTTAATTATTTGATAATTTCTTTTTATATCACAAATTATCTGATTTGCAATGTTTTTCAATTCCCTTACTGTATATGGATGTTCGATCATTGTGTTAGAACCAAGCGATGTCTTTGAGCAAACAGTTGAGTTCTTGGAATTCTTTTAAGGAAAATATTTTCTAATGTTGTTTAATTATAATTATTGATCATCCAATCCTCTTGAAACCATAGAACATGCTTTAGGAGATACCCTTTACAGGATACTGACTACAACATTTGAAGTTCATTTACTAAAGAGATTGTAAAGAGTTGGATAAGCAAACAGTAATGGCCTTTGATCTTCATCACTTTTTTTATTTTTTTAATGTGCTTAAATACAATTTTTGTTAATATATAGTCACTAAATTAAAATTCAATTTTCTATCAGAAATAAACCCCTTCAAGATATATCTATGTTTATCCTTTTGCTTAGACGATTAGAGGGATTTTTATTTCTAAAAATTGAAAATGTGCCTATGTCTTTGCTAAATTCAAACCCACATAATAAGCACAATGGAATACACTTATAAAGAATATAACACATACATAAATACATGTGTATGTTGGTAAACAAGTAAAGATAATGCTAACAAGAGAGGGGATGGGCTATAAGCATAGTAGAAATGATCTCACTATTTGATGAAGTCGAGATTAATTCCTAATACAATGAAACCCTCATCATTTTGTGCGATCATAGAATAAACTGATAGGAAATACTTGATTTCGCAAGTAATCCAAGAGGAAATACTTGAGTTCGCAAGCAACCCTAGCAATAATTGGTAAAAACAGCGAGAATTATGCAAAAATCTAGATGAAATTAATCCAAAACAATAGATTGTAACAAGGGAATCAAAGCAAAGCAAACACAAAGCAAGATACAATTGATCCTCAATTAGAGAGGAGGATCGTTCTCTCCCAATCTCTAGACGATGAGTCTAGAGCCCAAGACGCCAAGGAAAACTCAAAGAGAACAACTCAAAGCATGCATGCCCTAATCCTAGCCTCCCTCTTCTTTGAAATACATAACTTTCTAATAAAAATCCAATAAAAACCTTCCTAGAATAAACCAAAAGCAAAAGAGTTTCCCAATGTGTTAGCCGCCCCCTTCCCTCTCTCTAATTTCCGCCCTAGGGGGGCCCACAAGCCTTGGTGGCTTGTTTAAGGAGGCGGCTTAACCCGCCTCCTGTAGACTTGAACCGGCCTAAGCGGGGCCGGTTTGATGGTTCAGGAAGAACCATATCATAAACCTTGGTGCCTTCATATTATACTTTGCGAATCATGACATTACTACTGGTTGGAAGCGCATAAAAGTTCAAGTGTTTTTCTAACATGTTGACCTTTTGTTTGTCCTTCAGTGAGGTTGTATATGATTTCGTCCATGGAGTAAAAATATATTATAACAACAAAGGTTTAATATATAGATTTGAGTATGGTTTGATATAGATTCTGAACTGAGTTGAAAAGGCATAAGAGTGACAAAGCTCTTTCTCTCTTTTTTATTTATTCTAAATGTTTCTTGTCAGAACCATAGTAATCTTTTTTACTTTTTTGTGCACTGAGCAACTTCATTCTTTTGAAGGTTTACACAGTCAACTGCATCTGTAGAAGAGAAATCAGTCATCATAGGTGAAAGGAACAGAGTTGCAGCTGAGACACTCCAGAAGGCAATAGACAGTGGATATAAGAAAATAGCTGTACTTTATGGCGGCGGCCATATGCCCGACTTAGGAAGGCGTCTTCGCGAAGAGTTCAATATGGTTCCCTCTCGGGTCCAGTGGCTAACTGCGTGGTCTATAAGAAAGAGGGAGCTTGACAGCCAATCTCTGCCATTTCTAAGGACTTTGGCCAAACTCTCCGGCTGGCCTCTCAACAGGTACCAGACCCTCGCCTTATTTATTTTTTCATCTATCCTTGCCGTGGATCTTTGGTTTTGGGAGCTCTTTTTTGGTACTGTTGTGAATTGGGCAACATGGGCTACTACAGAAGTAAACTTACTTACTGATAACATATGGGGCTTTTGATTGATAATGGTAGGAAAATTATTTATGCATTTCTGTGGTTTTCAAGATGTATCATAAATTGACCACAATCTTGATATTCAGTTTTCAATATATATAGTTCCATCCATATTAATTTATAGCTGATTTGCTGTTTCATGATTCATGAGATCTTCTAATCAGTTTTATTTACTGAAGAACATAATTAATGGTTCCATTTTTGTTCCTGATCTTGGATGCTATTAGTGTGCTTAATGAGCTTGCAGAAAGAAGAAAGCTAGAATCTTGGATGATAATGAAATAGATGTATAAATAACAGAATAACTTGCCAAGAAAAAGCAAATCTGATTTCTGTTTTGGTAGAATTGTGCAAATTAAAGGTTTAGGATAGTATTAAGGTTTGTTTGGGATGGTTTTTTTTCCGCTTTTTAAAGCAGTTTTTTAGTGCAAAAATTAAAATGTGTGTACTAAAAAGCTGCTTTAAGAAGCAGCAAGAAAGCTGTCTCAAACAAAGGCTTAAGCATGATTTTGGTGCTTTATTGAAACTTTCCATCGAATAAATGATGATAAAGTTTTCTTATTATCCATTCAGTTTTTGTTATATGAAAATTTTTGGAACTTTGTTGAGGACCTTTTGTTGTGATGGAAATGTGATGATGGAATGTATGCAAATGGGAAAAACAATTGAAAACAATAGCAAAAACTTATTTCATACATATGCTTGAAACACTCACTTAGCTTTGGAATAAAAAGTCTAGAACAATTGGAAAAGTTATTACGTCCGGATAAAAAATCAAAAATCTGGATGTATACTGAGTGCTCGGTATCGAGCTCCAAGTGTTGATGATGATGTTGTTGTTGTTTTGCTCTAGGTTGTATAACTTCAATGCTTCTTGTCAGAACCATAGTGAGCTTCTCCTTTTTTGTGCACTGAGCAACTTCATTCTTTTGAAGGTTTACACAGTCAACTGCAGCTGTAGAAGAGAAATCAGTCATCATTGGTGAAAGGAACAGAGTTGCAGCTGAGACCCTCCAGAAGGCAATAGACAGTGGATATAAGAAAATAGCCGTGCTTTATGGCGGCGGCCATATGCCCGACTTGGGAAGGCGTCTTCGCGAAGAGTTCAATATGGTTCCCTCTCGGGTCCAGTGGCTAACTGCGTGGTCTATAAGAAAGAGGGAGCTTGACAGCCAATCTCTGCCATTTCTAAGGACTTTGGCCAAACTCTCCGGCTGGCCTCTCAACAGGTACCAGACCCTCGCCTTATTTCTTTTTTCATCTATCCTTGCCGTGGATCTTTGGTTTTGGGAGCTCTTTTTTGGTACTGTTGTGAATTGGGCAACATGGGCTGCTACAGAAGTTAACTTACTTACTGATAACATATGGGGCTTTTGATTCATAATGTTAGGAAAATTATTTATGCATTACTGCGGTTATCAAGATGTATCATAAATTGACCACAATCCTAATATTCTGTTTTCAATATATATAGTTCCATGTTAGTTTACTGCCCTGATTAGATCAAAATGGTTCCATTTTTGTTCCTCTTGGATGCTATTAGTGTGCTCGAAAGCTAGAATCTTGGATGATAGTGAAATAGATGAATAAATAACAGAATAACTTGTCAAGAAAAAAGCAAATCTGATGTTTGTTTTTGTAGAATTGTGCAAATTAAAAGGTTTAGGATAGCATTAGGGTTTGTTTGAGATGATTTTTTTGCTAGATTTTAAAGCAGCTTTTCAGCGTAAAAATTAAAATATTTGTATTAGAAAGTTACTTTTAAGAAGCAACAAGAAAGCTGTTCCAAACAAAGCCTTAAGAATGATTTTGATGTTTTATTGAAACTTTCCATGGAATAAATGATGATAAAGTTTGCTTATTATCCATTGTCAGTTTTTGTTGTATGGAAATTTTTGGAACTATGTTGAGGACCTTTTGTAGTGATGGAAATGTGATGATGGAATATATATAAATGGGAAGAACAATTGACAACAATAGCAAAAACTTATTTCATAAATCTGCTTGAAACACTTGCTTAGCATTGAAATAAAAAGTCTAGAATAATTGAGGGTCTGTTTGGGATAGTTTTCTGTCTGTTTAACTGTAATTTCATTTTGCTGATGTTTTCTTGCTGCTTTCTTATTGTTTTTCAGATATTTTTTGGTGTAAAGCTGTTTTTTATAATTATGACAGTGAAGTTGTTTTCTCCGTGACAATTTTACAATCAATTTTATAAACTGTTATAGCCGTCCCAAACTGACTGAAAGTATTAACATAGATAATGTTGACTTAACTATTCATTCTTATTAATCATGCATGGAGATTCGTGCATCATGATCAATGCATTTGATCACACCATAGGATGAAGCTCATAATGCATATGATAGAGTTATATGATTTGAATGATGAATGAAAATCGGACGGCTAGATGGTGTTTGTGAATCAAAATTGGCACATATTTTAATGTAACATGAGATGCAGGGTTTCATTAGTTGGGCTTCTCTGCAGAAATCTTAAGGAATTAAGAACTTGCACGAATCTTGAGCCTGATGACATGAAGCACAATCAGCACCAAGAGCTATTTTTAGAATTATATTACTAAAATAAAATAAAATAATGCCCAATAAAAATCTTCATCGGAAGATTTTATAAATTACGCATGAAATTTGACTATTTATAAAACGAACATATTTTTACATTCATTTTTTAAAATTCTCATTCGAATTATAAAATTTATGATAAAATTTAAACAATTTTATTTTATTTTTATAGCGTGCAGTTACAAGATTTTGATCGTTTAAAATAATAAATAGTATTTATTTTTATAAATAAATCACTTTTAAATATTATGTAAATAATTATACTCTTGATTCGGACTTATTTGGGCTCGGATTGGGTCGATCTTGGTGTTTTTGGGTTCGTATTTCCGAGACGCTCAGTTTGACTGTAAGATCGTTGAAATCGGAGTTCGGATGCTCCCGGATTTAATTTTTGAAGTCTCCAACTAGTTTTTGCCTCGAGATTCGTGCCTGATCAAGCTAATTTTGTGATGATGTATCAATATTGATAATAGGTATTCATTATTTTATCAGCCGAAGAGGCATTTCTACCAAATTTAATCAAGAAATATAGTATATGAGAAATTAATGAAATTTGTATTACACTTATTTTAAAATAAATCGAATAGTTTTAAAATTCATTTAATAAGAAATTAATTCAGGATATTCAGAACTATTGTTTTTTTTTTCAAAAATTTAAATTATTAAACGATATTCTTGACACATTCTCTGCTTCTTCTATTCATCTTAAATAATTTTTTTTAAAGTTGTTTATATTTTATATGACTTTTATTTAATAAAAATTATCAAGTTCCTTTTTCTCTTAAGCTAATAAAAGTTTAATAAAAAATACAATTTTAAAAAAGATTTGATATTTTATCAAATCTTAAGGTGGTATTTGCTAAAAATGGCGAGCTAATTAGCACGTGAGAGATTACCATTGTGTTGCAGAGTAGCTGGTCAGAAGAGTGTTAGGCTTCGTGTCTAATTTTTCTCAATTATTTTACTTTTAATTTTAAAATAAAAATATTTTATATTAAATAATTATATTATATTTTTATCATTATCATAAATATAAGTGAATTTTATTGAGCCAACACAAACTTTTTATATTTTTTTTTTTTTCATGATAATCTCCTCCTTCCATTGAATACTCTCTCTCTTGCACACAATTTAACACTTTTTTCTCTTTATAAGCTTTTATTTTTATGTATACAGTCACACAGACTCGTAGAACGAATGCTCGTTTTTCTATATCACTGAGAGGCTCTCCACCCATCAACCTTTCATCTGAATATGATCCAAAGGCCCAAAAACTTGTTCTGTTCATATGTTTACCTGCAAAAACCATCTTGAATTCTGTCCATTTCCCTCTGTCTCTTTCTCTCTCTTTCTCTGTTTCTCATTTGTTGCTTTCCTTCACCTTTTTTTGTTTCTTACATTCTCTCTCTAGAAAGCAGTATCAAGCCACCCTTTTACATTTTCCTATGTTGATGATCTATACAACAACCTGCTAACTAGCTCTTAATTGTGAAATGATGACTCTTGTTAATGTTTGGGACAGCTTTCTTACTGCTGCTTAAAGCAGTTTTTTAATAGAAATATTAGAATTTTGATAGTAAAAAGTCACTTTAAGAAGCAGTAAGAAAACCGTTCTAAATAGACAGCTTTCTTAGTATTTTTTAAACTAACTTTTTAATACAAAAAGCTGCTTCAAAAAATAGTAAGAAAATTATCCTAAAAGAAAAATCCTAGTAATTAATCATTAATTATCAATTATAAAGAGGTGGTTAGATAGAGTTAGATGTACCAAATAGACATAGCTTGTCTTATTAATTTTAAGAAAAAAGTTCTGATTTGTCAGCAAAAAGGTTCATCTCCTTGTTTGGGTTCAAATCAAACTTGATTAATGTTTTGTGATGTTTGAAAGCATTTATCAATTTGAGATAAATGGTTGTGTCAAATTCATAAAAAAATGGTAAGAAATGTACAGAGATGGATTACAGTTTTACAAGACCTTGAGATGTTTATTTTTCTTCACCAAAAAGCCATCACATTTATGTTGTGAGAGATGTGGGAGAAGGAATTATCAGGTGTTGGTGTTTGACTAAAAACTTAAAAGTCTAGGTCATGCATGCACCTAATGAAGAATCATAGATGCAAGCAAGCATAGCTAGTGATGGAGGAACCTCTTTCTGTCTTTGTGGAATATGACTTCATCTCCATCTCCTTGTTGAAGATGGCTACTTCTCCTCTCATGAACTCATGTAGCCTCTCCGTCGTCCTCTTTCTTTTTCTATCCTTCATTCTTTTTCTATCTTTATCTCTCACTTTCACTTCACCTACACAAGTACTCACTTATGACTCTCTCCATCTCTTTGCAAATCATTTATTTTATCCCGTCATGTTTTCTTCTCTTTTTTTATCTCTCTTCATCTGATCAACCTCCCACATGTTATCATCAACCCTTCCACATGTCTATTTTTTTGTGACCGTAGTGTCAATTTTATTGAATCAATATTATTAGTTCAATATAGCTATTTAAATAAATCAGCTTTTATATTGCTAACATTAGGGAAGTCATCAATTGACCTTTTATATCCCTTTCTTCCAAAATCTTATAAAAAAATAGGAATATTGGAGATGAATGTTCCATCTCTGGTAGGATCCAATAATTTATGAAGATTTACTTGATAATAATCTAAAAAATGTAACAAAATGTCATAGTTAACATTGAGAATGCTTACTAGCTACATGGTACTTTTTTAAAAAGTGATAAATTGATTTTTGTTCCTTTTGATGTTATTGATTTTTATTTTTTTTTTAATAATTTCAAAGCATTTTATCCCAACCTATCTTTATTTTTTTCATCATTTTCTTCTTTAGTTAGGATTTCTCACCTCTTCCCTCTTACTTAATTTATTAAGTAACACTCCACCTCATTGATTGAACATAAGGGAAAGCTTTTATTATTTAGAAGCCTCAAAAGCAACCAATTTATCACATCATTCCTCTCCTCCACAATGATCATGGTCACACCACCCATTGCAGAAACATGCCATGCTTGCTATCTGAAGCTCCATTTGAGATAATTTTTATACTGCTTTCTACTAAATCAGTAAAAGATAATATTAGCGAGAGTCGCTTTAGATGGTTTGGTCACACAAAGCGGCGACCTTCCGATGACCCGGTTAGGAAAGTAGATGTATTATATTTGACTTATGTTAAGAAAGATAGAGGTACACCTAAAAAGATTTGGTTAGAAAATATTAGAAATGATATTTCTTTATTATATTTAAACCAGAATTTGACTTTTAAGAAGGCACAACGGAGAAAAAGAATGCTGCTGTTTTTGTTGTACAATAGTTTTTTAGTACAATTTTCTTAAACAATAAAAAAATAGTGGCAAAAAATTACGAAGCCTCAATCGGTTTCTTGAAAAAAAGAACTTTCTAAGTTTTATCGCTCAATGGAAAAGACTGAATCTAAATAACAGTAACCATTTTAATCTATTATGTTTCAAGTTTGTTTAACTTAATACAATCATAAACTAAGCATAAATTTCTCATTTAATTAACAGCAAGATAAAGATCAATTAAACTTGAAGAACTTAATACTTTCCATAGTAATTAGATAAAAGCAAATTTTGCAACCATAATCACAGAAGAAAATCAGTAGCCGAATAGAAGTTGGGATATATCAACAAATGCTCTGAGAATAACAGGATGATTCTGAACAGAGTTTAATGAAAGGTAAGAGTGAAGCAACCACTGAAGCTCTCCAGCTCCAAATATTTGCCTTTCTACTATCATCTCCACCATCGAGCTATGGAAATCACCATATGGATCACTGGATTTCTTCGTCACAGCGAAACTTGCTTCTTTTTTCTCCTCCTCTTTCCTTCTAGAGATGGAAACCAAAGGTTGGAATCCATCATCAACCCAAATGCATCTGCTTTTCTTCTCTCTTCTTCTCCGCAGCGGCCGGCGAGAAAAAGACTTCATTTTTTTAGCCTTTTTGTAGAAATCAGAGGAGTCAGAGGAGAATAATCTTCTTGATGAGAAGAAGGTTTCGATATCTTCCTCCTTATTAGCTTCTTCTTCTTCTTCTCTCTCTTCATGGGTGCTGAAGAATCCGAGGTCGTCAACGCTTTCCATTGCAGAAGAGCTAAAAAGCTCGCATCTTTTAGATCTAGGGGCCATCATCATCATCATCATCATCATCTCCTTTTTCTTCTTCTGCTCCTGCTGCTGCTGTTTCTTTGCTCCGTTTTTTTCTTCTTCTTTGAAGTAATAGTAATAGTCGTGATTGATTTTAGACGAAGGAGAGGAAGGAGAAGTGGGAGGACAGGTTCTTCCTTCTTGATCAGCTTTATCTCCAGTCATATAAAGCTTACCATTTTCTCTAACTCTTATTTCCTTCTTACTGCTCTTCTTCTCCTTTCTCCCCGGAGATGAGCGACGACCACCGCAGTTGGCGGAGAGGAGGAGAATCGGCTGCCGGAAAAGGTGAATTAGGCGGTCTTTTAGCCTGAGTTTGATCGCCATTGATTCGACAATGGAGGATAAGTGGGCAGAATGTTGAAAGAGTAAGGGGTTTATATATAGAGAATGATGGGTTCAAATTAAATATGCACTATGACATATAATCATTAGAGGTTGATTGGCTAAGGAAATTATTTCCTTATTTAGTTAAAGGACTATAGTTTTTTTTTTTTTTTTTGCAATATTTAATAATTGTTATTTGTTATTTGATTTGTGTAAAATAAATGACAAAATTTGTTTGTGCCCATTAGACTTAAAATAGTATGTTATTTATAAAAATATTATGATAGTTAATTTTTTATTTTATAAGGGTGTTGATTTTTTAATTGAAAAAAAATAATTTTAATATTTTATATAAATATCACATAATTTTTTAAATAATATTGAAATCCTTATCCTATATTTTAAAATAATTTTTATATGTTTATTTATTCTAAGTTATCATTTATTTGGGTCTTTAGTTTCCTCTAAGAATAGAATTCTTAGACTATATGGTGGATTTAATTATGTGAAATTTCATACTATCATCATAGACTTTTAAGTAATACACTAATTTTTCGAGCTACTAATATGTATTAGATTTGACTTATGTTGAGAAAGATAGATGTAGATCTAAAAAGATTTTATTAGAAAATATTAGAAATGGCCTTTCTTTATTAGATTTAGATGAGAATTTGATTCTTAATAGGACATAATGGAGAAAAATGATTCATGTAGCTGACCCTATATAGTGGGATAAAAACTTGTTGTTGTTATTGTTCTTGTATAAAGCTTGAAGATCCGAAAAATTATATATAACCCTACATATCTTTCATCATCTTCATTTGATTTCTATCATCCAACTATCGTTGGCCACTCGCTATTGTTCAATTAGTACCGTATGATTATCATATTCCATTCATTGTTATTCGACCATCATATTTTGGTTGCCATCTTAGATCATAATCGTTCGACTGCCAACATCCGACCACCATTGCTCGATTAACATTGTTCGAACATTGTCATTTGGTTAGCATCACTCATTCATCATTATCATCCCTTCAATAATACTCTTGCAATCTTTACTATAATTATATGAGATCAAGTTTGAGTTTATTGTTTTGTATTCCTGTCTTCTCCAATAGAGGGGAGAAGCAAACATTTGTACTTTCTATTATTCGATTGCCAACATCCTCCATTCACTATCACTCCTGCAATCTTTACTATAATTACGTGAGTTTATTATTTTGTATTCCCGACTTCTCTAATAGAATGGAGAAGCAAACCTTTGTGCTTTCTATCAATATGGCGGTTCATTTCATCAAGGCAAGATCTTATGATTTTTTTCCATTCATGGGGTTTTCATATAAAAATTCAACTGTCTCCCATTTTTCTCTCTTTTATCAATATGTATTCAAATTTTTTGTGCAAAGCTTGATGAAAAATTATCTCTCTGTTGACACGAATGTTTTAGCACACAATAGTTTAGTGTCATCTATTAGAAACAATTCTAAGTTTGAATGAAGTCATTGAGATAACCATAAAAGGTCGTTCGCATCAACATCCCAAGCACAATTATTGCAATGGATCTCATTTCCATATACTACTATTTCGCCAGTTTTAAAAGAAGCATGAACGGCCTAGAAGGGAACATCAAATATAACTTCAAATTGACAACATTCTAAGTTATGTTGTAGTAAAAAACTCTCTTATTCTATCATTCATTATTTCATCAATTTCATGTAAACATATCAAAATTGACATGCAACCCTGACTGCAACTTTGAAGGAATTCTCATCTCAAGCATGATTATAATTAGAGAAGTTCTTGATGCATAGGCTCTGACAACTTCTATCATAGAGTCTATTCTCAATAGTCTATATTCATTACATTATTTCAACACATTTTCAAATTGAAGGGAGACCATCATTACTAATCCCAATATACAATAATGTGTCAGATCCCATAATATTTTACTTTTTTAAAATTTTCACATAAAATTTTTGATGTTTTAAATGAAACAATTTTTAATCTTTGTGCATACTAGATCATTATATAAAGCTAATATATTAATTTCTCACTTGATCTCCATGATATATATATATATATATATATTAATCTGATTGAGATACTAAAGTGATATAAAAATTTAGAGTTTAGGAAAATTAAGTCAAATTCATACACTCATCATATACGCAAGCTTCGAACTCAAGACCTCTAAGTTGGCAGCCAAAGCTCCCAACCAACAGATCAAGATAAGCTACTTGTCAAACTGTCATAAAAAATGTTATCACAAAAAGTAATAATATTTAGTTAGGATATATCGTGTATTATTATTTTTTTATAAAATTTGCATTAAGGTACTATTATGGTAAATTAAAAATGTCCCCCTCGAATAGGAGAGTAAGTGAGCAGAGTTGGCTTTGTGATGTGGGCCGAGTCGACTCGCTAACAAGTAACAAGCATGTAAGTTGAGACTATCATGCAATGATTACTCTAGTTCAAACTCGAGCTCGATATTATATAAGCTCGAGCTTGGGCTTAAGTTGGCATAGTTTGTTAGTTTCGAGCCGACTTGATTAGAAACCTTAAATTTGATTTCTTTTTTTCTTGCTTTGGTTAATTTGGTTCGGAGCCATTTTCATGAATTCCTTTTCTTCTCAAAATGTTGTTGGGCCCATTGATTCCTTCTATAGTGAACCCCATTAACGACTTCCAAAAGCTCGACCCATCAATGCCTTCTAAAATGAATTCTTGCTATTATTTTCTAGCCTTTAGATCTGTCAATTCCTTCTAGCTACAACGAATTCCAACCGTTGGACCTATCAATGTTTTTTTACAACAACGATATTTTTTTTTGGACATTTAAGGCAAACTCATACACAACGCATATACAAAGACTTGAACCTAAGACCACTTAGTTGGAAGCCTAAGCTCTCAACCAACAAGCCAAGGTGAGCTGTGTACAATGATACTTATCAAAGAGCTCCTTTTCTAGTGAGCTCCCACCGATCCTTTTCCAGTAATCTACATTAACAACTTTCTTATTTTCTCTGGTGATCTCGAGCTTTCAAACCAAGCTCAAGCTTCAAAATTTAAGAACGAGTAAATTAAGCTAGATATCGCCGTATAAGCTCAACTCAAATTCAAGCCAAATATTAAGTCGGCTAGCCAAGCTCGAGTTAGTCCTAACTAGAGCTCAACTTGGCTCATTTACACTCTGTCACGTAACTATATATCATAAATATTAAAAAAAAAAAAAAAACTATGATGCATTTTAGGAGAGCCCAAACAAACAAAATAGTAAAATAAAAGTTAAATTTACATTTTTTTTTTCTCCAACTTAAAATTATGTCATTTACCTTTGATTAAATATTTTCTTCTTTTTTAGTATATATTTCATACTCATAATGCAAAATATAAACAATTAATAATTTAATATGTACTTATCTCTACACTCCAATATGAATGTTGACATACAAACATTATCCTATTTTATGACATCCCTTTGGTCTTACTGCATCAGTCTTTTTTAATAATTTATTTATAAAAAACGAGTAAAACATTTAACTCATTTTTCTCAATTTTCTTCTTTTTATTACCAAATTATCCTTTTTTTCACGTTCATTTAAGAGCTATCTGCAACAAACAATGAATTATTAACTATGATAAATGGTGGGGCATATGAGTAATAATGTTCCAATTTCAAATATTTGGAAATTATTGAAGAAGAATTAATTCTATGATTTATATTTTAAATAGAATGTGATATTATATTTTATAAATAAATATGAGAAAATTACACAATAACAATATCAGCATAATTATGTGCTCAAATGACTCTTTGAAAGAAATATATAGAATTCTAGTGGGTCAAAAAAACACAATTATAGGGCTCAGTTATTTTTAAATTCAAACAATATACAATTCAAAGATTAATTCGTAATATTCTTAATTTTTGTTGCAATTTGATCACAAAATTCAATTTTTTTTGCATTATATTTTTTTTCAACTTTGCTAGCTTTTAACAGCAGTTTTAACCCCTGCTAAAAACGCTGCTAAAGCTTTCCTACAGTAATACTCATAAAATTGTTGCAAAAGTCTTTCTAGCGAACACAAATACAACGAATTTACAGCGGTTTAAGAACTACTATGAAGAATTTAGTAGATGTTTAAACTAGTATAATTGGTAAAAAAAAGTACTCTGAAAGTTTGATTTTTTAGCAGTGATGAAACAATTTATAATTGTTTTTTTACTGACATAAAATTGATAAGAAAAATCAAAATCTCACCTAAAATCAATGAGACATTAGGGCCTACTCTTGGCACCAAATGGCACCACAAAGAC